ATCAAAAGCTACAGGGGTTCTAGGTTAAGTCTAATGCATTAATATGCCACAAGGCGACCTGCCCTTGCTTTTGTTTCAATTAGAATACATGAAAAAGAAATGACATCATTCCTGCTGTTCTCCCTCTTTCTCCCCCTCAAAAAGAAAATAAAGGTTTTGGAACCAAGAAAATCTAGATGCTCAAATGAGCCAATGATTACTTTTTAAATCCCCATGTGAAGAGTGACGAGTTATCCCTGAATGATGGGTAGTCAAAATGAGGTGGGCAAACAAAACCACTAACAAAAAGCATCCCTGATATTGGAATCCAAGCAAATGAGGAAGTCGGCCAAATTTCTGTGCTGCAGACTCTGCTGGGGGTGGGGGTGGGGGTGGGAGACTATTGCTTTGCGTTTGATGGCAGATCCGTGAGGGAGGGTGGGCTGGGAGCACCATAAAGTGTCTCCATCCTCAGCTGCCTCTCCCTCCTGAACACTTGATGCACATGTGGCATGGGATTTTAACATATGCTGGGGATGTGCCCCTCAACAAGTGTTCCTTTTGGTCCAGGGTGTGTTGAAGTTGGCCATGTATTATTACTACAGCTGTAGTTGGCTAGTCAAACTAGGATTTGAGGGAATCATTTCAAATGACAGCAACAATGACAGAGAAAGCTCAATGAGATGGGCATAGGAAATTCACATTTTAGTCAAAAGCAAAACTTTAAAAAAAAAAAAAAATCAAGTCAACAATGCTCCTTTAAGTGTTTTGCAATTTTAATCACTGAAGAATAAAAAATAAAACAACCCTCAAGTTGTTAAAGGTTTAAGTACATCATCAAATGGGCAACCTGCAAGTATCAGACCCTCACAGAATCTACTTTACCAAAGTTGTCACAATGTCCTGTTTTTGAGGTATTTAAAAAAAAAAAAAGTGTGACAGTGGGTAACACAAAATGGAGCTTCCTCTTGAGTTTTTATTAAAATATCAACTCCTGGGGACCCAAGGAGAAATTTAGAATAGCACCAATTAAACAGCAGCCTGTGTGGCATCAGAGCGCAAAGAAACTCTTTTCTGTAGTTTGCACAGGAGGTGTTACCAACCAGAGGCAGGAGCAATGCAGAGGCAAAGGATAAGCACAAATAAAAGGACCCCTATACCCACCCTGGTCCCAATCAGTGCCAGTGAAGAAGGAGATCTATACAGTCAACCTTAAAACTCTCAGAGTTCTCTCCTTAGCACCTTGGCCCACAGCAGACAGACACACAGGCATTCTGACCTATGTGGATGCCTGCCACATTAGAAGAGCAGGCGCCCCAACTCTCTTCCTCAAAAAAAAACAGCCCTTCACCCATTCTTTAATAGGCCTCAGACAACAGGTTTGAAACCAAAGGACCTGCTAAGCCAGATAGGTCCACTCCCATTGGCAGCCAGAGAGCTAGCTGCCCTCTCTACTTGCCTTTGTTTGGCCACCAAGGGAAAAACAATACACAAAACAGAAAAACTGCTCAGAGCAGACACAGCCTGGTAAACAGAAGTCTAAGAAGACAGCACCAAAAGAGGAGGGTCGAGACAAAACAGAACACAGCCAAGAGACTGGAGCCCACCTTGTTTTTGGTTGGTTGTGGTTTCATAATGATGATAGCACCTCAGCAAGACAGGATCAGGGACAGTCACATTAAAATACCGTAGCACCATTTTATTTAGACAGTTTCAATTCATAAAAACGCTTCCTAGTCCACAAAACACACTTCAGTAACCAAAGGAACGAGATACTGGTTGAGGCACAGCAGGGATATCATGTTCGTTTCCCACCAGCATTGTCTTGGCTTGCGATATTGTGGTGGATACTGGTTTCTCTTAGGGAAATTAGGCTACCATCTACTCATCTTCAAACATCCTTGCACATCTACTGCTGCTTGATACAAAGCAATTAAGCTCAGGCATTTCCCTTGCTTGAGTACTTAGAAATTCCTTGCTCTGCAAACTCCTATTTTCAAAAGAGGCTGGTGAAGGGTTGAATGGGGACAGGGATAGCATCTCTTTCCATGCACACCTCAGTCATCTTGGGGAGAAGACGATGCAGTACCCATGAAGCTGGGGTGTGGGAAACTTAAACCCTGCCCCAAACTCAAAAGCAATGACAAAAAAAAACAGATCTAAAAAAACCCCCAACAACCCCCAAATCCATGAAACACCTTTTAGTCAAGATTTCCAATGGTTTCTTGAGCTAGCACCAGTTATTTTGTGAGAACCTGCTGTGAAGCGATTTTTATTTTAAAAATCTCTTAGCACAGAACTTTGCAGATACTTCCCTTGCACACAAAAGGCAGGGAAACGAAACCAAGCAAAAGAGGAACCAAATGTTTGGACGGTGTCTGTGGACAAGGCGCAGAGAGATGACTGTGCAGACCCCGTCCTTTTCCGTAGCTGTCATAGTAATTACTCTTAAAACTGGGTCATGCTGTTAGGTTCTTTAGTTGCAATGGCTTTTATTTTTCTTCTCGTGATAAAAATGTCTGTTAATCATCTTTAGGACTTAAAAAAATGAGAGTGCCAGTAAAAAATAAAAATCTGATTTTTCTCTTTTAAGAAACCTTCAGCAGCAAGGGGGACAAATAGCTGTGCATAGTTACTTTTTAAATATACGTCTAAAGCATGCTAATCTTAATGACTGAGACTTGAGGTAGGTTATACATGTAGTGTGTACAAATCAGCATGGGCGTAAGCACAGCAACAGCACCACCTAACTCTCGTACTCCACTAGGAGGGGATGGGGACGGCCCATGGAGACTGCCTCTTGACTCACCTCTCGGCAGCCTGGTTCCCAACCTAGAAATTTATGAACCAAAGGTTGTTTGGCCTGGGGGACAGAAGTCACATGCTTTTAGCTTGGGTTGGTCTCTCCTTTCATCTAATGGCTTTGCTACCCAAGGGTGGTGAGGGAAAAAGTATATTTAACATACATAGGGAAAATTCACACGTGCCAAGTATCAGAATCACCTGGGTTACACTCGGAACCTTCCAAACCAACAGCCAACCTGGGGCTTTCACAGCCACACCGACGGTCACATTCTCAAAATGGTTTGTAAAATATTGTATTTCTTGCTTAAGATCATTTAAAATGAAGTTTTCAAGGCACCCCCGCATCTACCTAAGCACGAGTCAAATGAGACCTGCATAAAAGCACTGATGTGGTAAGCAAAATAGCATTTAAAGGACCCAACTTTTCCTCAAAACTAGAAAATCAGCATGCTCATTAAAGACTGCTTCCTTTAGCTCGTCCAACGGAAGGTCAGAGGTTTTCCTATAAATCTGAGTTCTGAATAATTCTAAATCCTGATAAGCTCTTGGGTATTTATTTCAAAAGCAATAATATTTCATTTTTGTCCTGTAAAATAAATGCAACTTTACAGAATATGGTAAAAGTGAAGGATAGACAAAGCACGTTAAATATTCAGCTACTATTTACAATTCTCCCACAATTACATGTTAAAACATACTTTTTTTTTTTTTTTTCAAGTTGCTGTTTAAATCTAGGCAAAAGTGCTTAAAAAAATCTTTCACTATTTACAGTTAAAACCAGACCACATAAATGCTCAGGACATTTTACTGCGATTCTCCGCCAGCACCTCAGGTTCGGTTACAGTAAATGCCCAGCGGGTCGGCTCTCAGCTCTTACACAAGGCACCTGGGAGTGCAGGAATTTGCCATTAGCATTGTTATCTGATTGTTAAACTTGTTTAAATGAAGACCCACATATGAATTAAACTGCTCAATAAATATGAGGTTTATCTGAGGGTTCGGTTTTCCTTCTATGTGTGGCCACTCTCCCCTCATGGTGTGTCCAGATGTCCACACAAGGATGGGACCACCCACTTACCATGCAGGTGCACAAGGGGAGCTTGTCAGAATCTCTACTACCACCACAGGAAAACAGACTTTAAGAAGTTCGACTTGCTGCAGATGAGTGTTCCTTCAACCTGTCAGGCCCAACCTCTCTCAACAATGTCGCAAAAGTTAAGCACCACATTCTCAATAAACTGAATGAATGCACCAGAATTTTAGATGGGGCATGTAAAAGTGGGTGGAGAAGGGACGAAGGGAGAAGAGATGATTGAACAGAGAAATGGCACCAACTGTGGAGGAGAATCATAGCAACCTGCTGAAAATGTTTGACTCATGTACTTGTAAAACTCTTTAAGAGTAATCTCCAGCCCCCAAATGATACTGTGGAGGGGGTGGGCTCAGGTGGGAGGCATGCACCATAGTTCAATGTGGAAATCCAGGAACAGGATAAGGGGTGTTAACTACCGTTATACTGGTTTGCTGAGCAACAGCAGGGTATCTAGCCTGCTGGAGTCAAGGAAGTCCCAGCTCAATATTACAGCACCAGGCTCCGCACAGCGGTGGACACAGAGCAACGCTGGCTTTTCACAGCTTGGGTTTAACTTCTTGTTTTTAAAGATACAGTAGCCCTTTTTCAGTATCAGCATAAACTTCTGGGGGCACTTTTTTGTTTTGTTTTTCAAACTGCCACTAAGACACATTCCTTCAGCCCAGTATTAATTCACTTGTCAACCTGACAGAAAGGGCTCCTGAGAGCCTTCTCAACTCCAACGCCATCTTGAGGTGCTGCCTAGTGAACCATGACATCGTGTGACTTGATCGGTAATAGAGAGGACTCAGTGTGGAGACTAGCAAGCTTGTAGCCTTCTGCTTCCAACCTGCTGTCTAGGGAAATCTACGCCAGCGTCTCGGGTACCCCTGACTCAAAGCCTACTGGCAAGGACAGAAGCTGACCTGAGTGAGGGCTCCCTTCTCTGTCGGGAGGGATGGACTGGGTGGCTACAATCTGCAGCTGGTTTGAGGGACAGATGGCTCCCAAAAGGGCCAGGTGAGCTGGGTCCCGCAGCTGGTGCAGGAACGAGCACAGCTGGCCTTTCCTGCTGATCCTTTACCCATTACTATTGTTGCTTTAAAAAAAAAAAAAATCCAATAAATACACATTTTAAATGGAATTTAAAACTACTCCTTTGTGAAAGGACACTATAAACTTTCTTTCCATTATAGTGATATACAAGGATAGAATTTTAAAAACAAAGAGAAAATAAAAGCCCACCCCGCCCCCCCCCAAACAAGGGGAAAAACCCCCAATGTGGAGATATAAATACTAAGGTCACAGAAAATCACCCGACAGCCGTAGTTTCTTCTTCAAAGTGCTGGGGAGGTGGGGGGAGGCGGGTCAGTTCTGAGGTTTGGACCATAAATACATATATATGTATATCTATATATGTATATATAGATAAAAAGACTTCTGCACCCCAACCCGCCCCCAGGTGTGAGGGCGAAAGCACCACTGAGGCAGCTCGGGCTGGGCCCGGGCTGAGGGACTCTGGCTCCCGGCACCTAGATCCAGCGGCTGTAGGGCCCAGTGACCTTCGTGTAGGCGTAGGATGACACGGTGACTGCTGAGTCTGTGGGCACAGCCAGGGCCTGCCGTGTGGGGATAGCCCCTTTCTTCTCCTTATGCTGGGGCTCAGCGACCAAGGCGCCCCCCCACTTGCGCTTCTTCCCATAGAGCTTGGCCTCTTGCTGGCCCAGGCCCAGCCTCTCTGCCTCTTCCTGCCGAGCCCTTGCCCGCTCAGCCAGCTGCTTCATCTTGGCCTCCCAGAGGGCCAGCCCATGGTTGGGCTGGTTGAGGTTCTTGTGCTGGTAGAAGACCAGCGAGATGCGGGTAGGGTGGCAGCGGTTGGGCTTCTTGAGAGGGGTGGTAGCATGCAGCTCCCGGCGGGCACACTCGATGAGGATGGAGCCGTGTGCAGGGGCCACGGCCACACCACCGATGTTCTCATCCAGGAAGTTGTGTTCACTGTCCGACCATAGCTCCTCTTCCTCCTCAGCACAGCCCTTCTCCTCCTTCACAGCCCCCTTCCCGGGGTGCTCCTCCGCTGTCCCCTCCTCCAGGCTAAAGGGGTCCCACAGCTTCTCCTCAGACTTCAGGGACCCAAATAGCTTCTCGCTGGGCCCCAGTGGCATGCTGAAGGACTGCCAAGCTTTGTCCAGTTGGCTGGCCCCCGGGGTTGGGATCCGTCCCTCCTCCCCTTTCATGGGGCTCCACAGCTTCTCTTGGAACCCAGGGCCACCTTTCAGAGCAGAGTTGAAATCCCCCATCCCGACCCCCCATGGCTTCTCAGTCAGTCCAGGCCCAGACAGAGCCGAGGTACTGTTCCCAAACTTGCAAGGGCTCCATGATTTGCCTCGCAGTCGTCCTCCCGTCTGGGGAGCTGGCTGCTGCCCGTCACTTGGAAACAGCCCCCACTGGCCATCTGGGAAGTGGGATGGGGTCAGGCAACCAGCCCCAAAAGAACCAAGCTTGTCAGGGACTATGGTGGGGCTCTCTCCAGGAGGGAACACACCCCAGCTGCCACCTACACTGTTAGTCCTCTTGGGGGACATGCTTGGACCTCCTGTATACTGTCCCCATAGGTGGTTGGTTCCCCCATTCTGAGATGCCTCAGGCAAAGGTGTTTTGCTCATCTTGCCAGTGTCTCTGGGTACAGATTCAGCCGGGACCAGTGGGTCTACAGGCTCTTGCTTGATGGATCTGGTGTAGCAGTTGGAGCTCTGGGCAAAGGGTGAGGGGTCCCTGGATGCTGGGTGGATCTGGGGGACCTTGGGAAGCAGATACTCCTTGGGGCCTGGGTAGGCAGGCTGCTGGTGGTGAGGAGTGGGGTGGTGGGTGTCCGTGGGAACAGCCTGGCCAGGCAGCTCGGCAAACTCAGCACCACCGTAGGCCGGGCTCAGGCTGTTGTGCAGTGCATGTAGGTCTGGCTTCTTCTCAAAACTGCCGCTGCTGCCACTATTGCCCCAGGCGCCGGAGCCCAGGAACTGAGAGGGGAAGACGGGGTTGCTGGATGGAAAGCCATAGTAGCTAAATGATGGAAGAGCATACTTGGAGTGGAACCCATTGACAGAGGGCAGGCTGGGCTGTGCATAGTAGGAGTGGTAGGAGTACACGCTATTCATGCTGTAGGGGTCAGAGGGCCGGCAATTGCCCAGCACCGAGTAGCTCTCCACCACTGCGTTGCCGCTGTACTTGAAGGAGCTGAAGTGGTTCTGTGGCTCCACCTTGAGGGAGGACTTTAGGCCCTGCTGGGACAAGCCACTCTTCAGAGACAAGCCTGGGGAAAACAGAAGGCACAATGACAAGGAGCAGACAGAACCAGTCTGGAAAGGGCCCAGACAGGAAAATGAGGACAGAGCCTTAAGATGTGTCTTCCGTGACAGGCAGCACAAGTAAGACATGTCCCAGTCAGGCCCTAGGCTCACGTCCATCGAGTCAATTCCAACTCATGATGCCCCCATGTGTGTCAGAGAACTGCACTCTGACAGGGTTTTAAATGATAGTCGTTCGGAAGTAGATCACGAGGCCTTTTTTCCAAAAAGGTACCTCTGGGTAGACTTAAACCACTAACCTTTTGGTCAGCAGATGAAAAGCAGGCCTGTGAGAAGTGGCCATGCAGAGTCCACGGCCCTTTCTGCTTTGCTCTCCTTCACCCTAGCCCTAGTGAACCCCAGAGGTCCTCAAGGAAGCACCAACTCTGAACCACCCATGTGTGCTGACTACCTCTCCCACAAGTGTCCCACAAGTCAGGGGAAAATAAGAAGAAATGCATGCGACAGTCAGCAGCCACACCATGCCCCACAGCCCTACACCTTGGAGCAGGCTGTCTGTCTTCAGACCCTTAGAGAGGGCGGGAGAACAAGCTAGTGGAGAACGGAATCCTGCTCCTATCAGGTGGTGTCCTGAGGCTGCTACTGGTCTCTCCACACTGACAAAATTAAGTTTCCAATATTTGTCACGGGCAGTTGTTCGAACAGAACATGGGAACACTGAATGGTTTAAAATTAAGAAAGGTGTGTGACAGGGTGGTATTCTTTCACCATACTTATTCAATCTGTATGCTGAGCAAATAATCCAAGATATTGGGTCATAAGAAGAAAAATGTGACATTGGGATTGGAGGAAGACTCATTAACAACCTGCGATATGCGATGATACAACCTTGCTTGCTGAAAGTGAAGAGGACTTAAAATATTTATTGATGAAGATCAAAGACCAAAGCCTTTGGTATGGATTACATCTCAATGTAAAGAAAACAAAATTCCTCAACACTGGACCAATAAACAACATTATTATCAATGGAGAAGATACTGAAATTGTGAAGGACTTCATTCTTCTTGGATCAACTATCAACACTCACAGAAGCAGCAGTCAAGAAATCAAACAATGTATTGCATTAGGCAAATCTGCTGCACAAGACTTTTAAAAAATGTTGAAGAGCAAAGATGTCAGTTTGAGGACTAAGGTGCACCTGACCCAAGTTATGACATTTTCAATAACCTCATATGCATGCGAAAGCTGGACAGTCAATATGGAAGATTGCAGAAGAATTGATACCTTTGAGTTATGGTGTTGAAGGAGAATATTGAAAGTGCCATGGCTACCAAATGAACAAATAGATCTGTGTTAGGAGAAGTACAGCCAGAGTGCTCCTTGGAGGCCAAATTACCAAACTTCGCCTCTCATACTTTGGACATATTGTCAGGAGGGGCCTGTCGCTGGAGAAGGATATCATGTTTGATAAGGTAGAGGATCACAGAAAAAGAGGAAGACCCCTAGCGAGATGGATTGGTAAAGTGGCAGCATCAATGGGCTCAAGCATGGCAACAATTGTGAGGTTGGCCCAGGATGGGGAGTGTTTTGTTCTGTTGTACATAGGGTCACTATGAGTGGGTACCGACTCGATGGCACCTAACAACAATAATAATATAATGCACCTGACATGTATAGGACACCAATGCACACGGGAGTTAGGCCCCAGGAAGTTCCTGACTAGTGTTCCTAGTGAGATGCATTAATGGGAGAGTGTGGGGAACCACTGGAGCCTTCACAGGCACAGTGTCCATGCCACCCAGGTGGGTCCCCATCTCCCCACACCTGGATCAGTAGGGACGCCAGCCAGCTCCAGGACCTCTTGCTTGATCTTCTCGGGAGTGCTTAACTTCTCCTTCTGGACCTTCTTCTTCTCGGCCGCCGCTTTCCTGGCTTCTAGCTGCCGCTGTCGACAGGACTTGGCAGGCTCAGGCAGGCGCCGGACCTCGCGGGGGAAGGCGGTGAGCACCTGGATGGCCCCGCTGCCCACCTTGGCGTTCTGGTTCTCCTCACTGCCAAACTCATCTGTGCTGGCCATCTTATACAGGGGGAGCACATGCAGCTGCTCGTCCTCAGGGATCTTGCCCACGCAGCGATTGTCTTCCTTGGTCAGAGTGCAGACCTGCCCCGAGCATGGAGAGGGAGAGCACAGGGCTTGGAGGAGCAGAGGGCATCTCTGATCCTCTCCTGCCCACAGATTCCTAACTCCTGCCAGTCCCCCAACCTGTTTTCTCTACTGCTTCTGAATGTTGTTGTTAAGTGCTGTCAAGTCAGTTATGAGTCATACAGACCCTGTATAGGGTTTCTGAGGAGTGGCTGGTGAGTTTGAACTGCCAAACCTGTGGTTCAAATCAACCTTATGGTTCAGTGCTTTATCCCGCAGCGCCACACCAGGACTCCACTGCTTCCAGAGTTTCTAAAACAGCACATTCACCTCAGTTCATAGAGGAACAATACATTATCAGCACTTATGGTGCTGTGGGTTAATGCACTTGGCTTCAAAGTCAGTTTGTACCACAAAGTTCGCAGTTTAAGCTTACCAGACGATCTTCGGAAACGCTATACAAAGTCACTATGGGTCGTTACTGACCGGATAGCACTTAACAAGAAGGCTGCCCTACACTTTAGGCAGATGACAGCCTTGGAAACCCCTGACCTCTAGGGTCATTATGAGCTGAAATTGACTCTATGCCACACAACAACAATAATCTTTATGGAAGCAAGTTGCCTGGCTTTTTCTCAGGTGGATCCACTGGTGCATTTGAACCACCAACCTTTTGGTTAATAGCCAAATGATTAATGACTAGGGCTTCTTTAGGATACCCAACAAATATAAAAAGATTTTATGTCCGTAAGGATTAGAAAGTAGTAATAATAGGCAAAGGACATAAGAATATTCACAAAGGTGAAACATAAAAAGCCAAGAAGAATAGGAAAAGATGTTCAACTTCTCTAATAAGAAAATAAACCCAAAGTGAAATGAGGTGGGCATAGATTAAAATGAGTCTAGAAAAAAAATTACATTAACTGAAAAAAAAAAAAAAAGTCATCAAAAAATATATTAGGATCTAAAACCAATTTATATAAATTTACAAAAGGAAACACCATTAAAATAAAAACACACCCAGCCTGCCTCCACCTGTGGGCTATGTCTGTGCTGGTTCTTTTGCTTAGAGCACTCTGCCCCAGATACTCTCAGGGCTTCCTCTCACTCTTAGGTCTCAGCTCAGAGAGGCCCCTGGACAACTGCATCTAAACCAGCACACCAGCACCCCCGCTCTCTTTCACCCTGCTTCATCTTTTCCTAGTAGTCTTCCTCATTGTTCTTGTTGTAAAGTGCTACTGAATTGGTTCTGACTCATAGTGACCCTGTCTGTATAGGGTTTCCAAAGAGCAGCTGGTGGGTTTGAACCTCTGACCTTTGGTTTAGCAGTCCAGTGCTTCACCCACAGCACCACACCAGGACTCCAGTCTTCCTCACTCTTGGACATTATATCCCAAATTTGGGCAGGGACTCTGTCCACTTACTCCAATAAATACTTGTTGAATGACTCCATCTAATCTTTTGGATATAGTCCAGTTGTCCATGACACTTGGACCCACGCTTTAACTGGGAGACTCCAGATATTCACTGAGCTAACTTTTGCAGTACCCTCCCTCCTGGTGGATACAAAAACTAAACCAAACGCACTGCCAGCATGTCGATTCTGCCTCCCAGTGGCCCTACAGTATATAGAAGTGCTTCACAGGGATTCAAAGCTGTAAATCTTAATTCCACGGAGTGGCTGCTGGGCTTGAAACACCGACTGTTCATTAGCAGGTGAGAGTGCTTAACCACTTGCACCTGCAGGACCTCATCGATGGCTACTCGTAAGAGCAAAAATCCACCCAAGACACACACAAGATCAGCCTTGTCCATTTGTTCTGGGGAGTGGGCAGGGCAGGGGCAGGCAGTCTGGTAGGGCACCTCCAAGAGTTCTAGAATTCTATCTCCACATGTCTTCCTGCACAGACCACAGTCAGGCTGACCCCAGGACTGTCCCCAGTGGCTATGACAGGACACAGCTTCCTTACCACAGTGCACCCATTGTAGAGGTTGTGCTGGTCCTTGTGGGCGTGGGCACAGAAGTCCATGCAGGCTGTGACCCCTGCGAAGGGCCGCCCTTCCTTCAGCCCGAGGCGGCAGTCGATTGCTACTTCCTCATTGGTCACCTGTGTGGACAGCCAAGGTGGCCTGAGTGAGTGGTCCATGACTGTGCTTGGGGAGGCCAGCCCCTGGCCCTCTCAAAAAAGTTAACTTTTAGGCCCCTTTAGGAACGTTCCTCCTGGGAAATCCCAATTCCCTCATGCAACAGGAATGGCTGTGGAGAGAATCAAAAGCCTCCCCCATGGAAACCAGAGCTAGAGGAGGGTTACTTGAGAGAGCAGGGGAGGGAAGAAATGGTTTGGGATAGTTAGCTTGGTGTTAAAAAAAAAAAAAAAAAAAAAAAAAAGGATCTTTTCAAAGAACTACAACATACTCTCTACATCTTGGCTGGGTGCTTCTGGTGAGGAACACAAAGGAGCCCACTGACTAATTGCCCAGGGAGCCTGGCAGAGAAAGATCCATGACCCAGTACCTGGTTCTGATAGGCCTGGGGAGCCAGCCGCTTGTACAGGGGAGCGACTTCGGTGGCTAGGTCCTGGAAACTCTTCCGGAGCACTTCTTCCTGTGGAGAGAAGAGCAGTCACACATGGCCAGAGGACCCTTGGCAGGCTGGGCACACTGGAAGGACACCACACCAGTCGTTGTCTGGTTTCCTTTGGGGAGGTGGGAAGAAAGGTGTCTCTGGGAAGGGTTTGGTGCCACATCCATTTTAAGGTTGGGGACACTAAAGCATGCCAGAAAAAGCCACTGTCTGAAGGGCTAGTGGAGTTCCTGGTTGTCACAAATGGTCAATGTGCTCAGCTGATAACCAAAAGGTTGATAGTTCAAGGCCACCCAGACGTACCTTGAGAGAAAGGCCTCGTGATGCACTTTAAAAAAATCAGCCACTGAAAACCACTATGGAGCACAGTTCTACTCTGACACACATGGGTCACCATGTGTCAAAGGCAACTGACTGCTAAGCCACTGCTCTTGTAGGTTCAGCAGACACGAAAAAAGTACGAGTACTGAGTATGGCTCCTTCTCCCCATGTGGCACACAGGAAACAGGTAGAGTGAGGTGTCGGGGTATGCTACAAGGTTTACAGTCAGCCGGGTCCAGATATGCAGACCGACTTCACAGCTCAGTCCTCTTAAGTCCTGTGGCTATTGATATTTACGTTAATTTTCATTAAAGTAAATTACAGTAAAAACTCAGTTCCTCAGTTGTGCTAGCCAATTGTGAATGCTCAGTGGCCCCACGTGTGGCTCCACTAGCTACAGTCCTGGATGGTGAAGACAGCAGTCTGTGTTCACAGCAAGTCCAAGTGGACAAAGACGCACCCCCCTAGCTATACAGAGCAGAGGCCTTCCGGCGTCCACAGCCTCTCTTGGTGCACCTCTTCAAGGGTCGCAAGAGGGCTTGGGATTGTAGGGGCTCCTAGCAGACTGTGAACAGCGGAATGAATTTACTGAGAGGAAAGACAAAAGGAGGGGGAACAGAGAGGTTTATAGAACAAGAAAGGGAAAGGTGAAACCAATGGCTGAGCTACCTCGCCATACAGGCCAGGGACACTACACCCCATGCCCTGGAACCCTTCCCACCCCTTGTACTTCAGGCCTGAAGCCAGCACAGCATGGTGGGGAAGCCTGCCAGCAACATTTCTGGCCACATGGCCTTGGGCAGGCCGCTGGCCTCATGTATAAAATGAGTCATCACAGTCTCTACATCAGGGGTGCCGAAGCAAACCGAGTTGCCCATGAGGTGTTCAGCTCTGCATTCAAAACAAAGTGCAGGCAGTGGTGGCTGATGGAACATGGAAAATATTTGTTAAGAAATAGAACCAATGTATTCTCTGGCAATTTCTAGATCCTGGTGGCCCTGGGGCTCTATCACTCATCAAGGCAATTGCACTTTGCTGCTTCTGAGGGAAGAGGAATGTTGTCTTCAACAACATTAACAAGTTTACTGTTAAATTAGAATATTTAAGCTCACACAAGTATAAAAGTCAGGCTTTGAGGAAAAGAGCATTCTAAATGTTAACATCCTTTAACTTTGGAGTCCCTGGTTATGAAGAGTAAAGCCTGGGGATTGGGGCAGACAAGGTGTATGGACTATGGGGTGAGGGGCTGTACCAAGGGAAGGCTAATTCTGGGGTGAGCGGGAAGATTACTATGCTACTGCCTGGTTCCTGGCCAAGAGTCTCAGCAGCCTATCGAGGAGGGAGGAAGGCTGCAAAATGATGGTAAATGCAGACAGGTGAGCCCCGTCTGTGACTGGAACTCTGAGGGGAGGCCAACTCTCAGGATGCCCTTCAAAGATGGGCACCAGAGGAGAACGGTTGAGGGGTCTCCCAGCATCAGTGTGAGCAGTGGGAACCAAGCAGCCCAGGAGTCCTGCTGTCCTGGGGTGGGGAAGAAGTCCAGTGAGCTGCAGAGGCCTCCAGGTAGGGAGAATACAGAGGTGAGACCATGTTGTGAGGTAACAGCTCAGTGTCCATGGACCAGGCCAAGTCTCATGTAACAAGGACAGTGAGGGCCGGGACATACAGTGGCAACTGGATACCAGCAGGTAGGATTAGGGTGGCTCAAAGACCATAGGTCCTTACTCTTACACCTCAAAGATATGTATGCTCGGAAGAATGAAGACATCACTCTTTGAGAGGGTCAACTTTTGATAAGGAATCTGAATATTTAGCTGTAATATTCAGAATATTTAGACAATTTTAAGCTAGAAGAATCCAAGCTACCTGTTGGCAACTCTGATTTTCCATTTGTTAACCCCCACACAAACCCTGGCCACCTGCACACACCTTGTTTCATAGCAAGATAAGGTCAATTATAAAAATAAAGAAAAATAATGCAAGTTCCATTTCCTGCACAGCTAAGCCAAGGTGTGCCAGTCCCACCTTGACTATTAAAGTCAGCAGGTGGAGACAGGCATGTGGGTGGGTTCATGAGCTCCCGGAGCAGATCTACTCACCTCTTTGGGATTGTCCCCTGCGAGGCGGAACTTTCGAGGCGTCTTACTCCGAGCGTATTTGCAGCCGTTGAAGTACATGCTCCAGGAGCAGCCAAAGGAGAAGGAGGCACCGCAGGTGTTGGGGTCTTTGCCTTGGCAAGCACAGGTCCGGCTGCAATGTACAGCCCAGGTGAGGTATACAGACGTGGCAGAAGTCCACTCTTTTGCAATCGTCTGCCTACCTGTCCACCAACCTCCCAGTAATGGGGACTACATCTTTTCCCACTCCCAATTCCTTTCTCAAGTGTCTTTGGAAAGCCAGGTTTCAGCAGCCTGTTCTTCCCACACCCCTGAGCCTGAAAGTCTAACCCAGACAGAGCCTGTTTTTGGAAGAAGCACAGTGAGTTGTTAGAGAAAGGTGGGAAAGACCTACTTGAAGGAAAACCACTAAGGTTTATAATGTTCTTTAACTCTATACCATATACAACACAGACCATACATATAGGGAAATCATAGGAATCAAAGGTTTGAACCCACAAGCCTCTTATGGCCTTAGATGCAGGCAGGCCTTTTTGTTGTTGTTGTTGTTCTGTCTTTCTAAATTTATTTATTTATTTTTTCTTGTTGAGAATATACACAGCAAAATATATCTGCTGTTGTTACGTGTTGTTGAACTGGTTTGGATTCATAATGACCTTGTTTAAGATTTCCGAAGAGCGGCTGTTCCATTTGAACCGCCACCTTGTGGTTCAAATTAACCTTGCAGTCCAGAGCTTATCCTACAGCACTACACCTGGACTCCAAAACTTAGCAATTCAGAAAGGTGTAATCAGTACATGTACAAATCAGTGACTGAATGCATTTCTTTGAGTTGTGCCAGTGTGTCCCTCATTAACATAAACTCACTGCCCACTAAGGTTCTTATCTCCAGGTTGCAGTTATTATTTCCATCCCATATAAATAGTTCGTAAAAGAGCATAATGTTCAAAGGAAAAACAGCAATGAAGCTGCGAGCTAAGCCCTACAATGTTCAATAGACTCCTGTGAACCCAGGTGGAGACCTGGTTGGCCAGCAGTGTGGCAAGACCTGGGGACTTTTGGGCCCAGAGTCAGTGACATAGCCACAGAGGACTAGAGTGGAGAGTGAAGCATCCAGCTGATAAGAAGAGAGGGCATATGCATGAGAACACCCACACTTGCTGACACAATTTGATGAACTTGACCTACACCTACGGATGCAATAGCTCAAAAGAGGTAACAAATCGTTACAGCAAGGATCATTCCTACCTCTCCATACAGAGTAGACAGGGATGAGCAACTTGGACACTGGCTACCCAAAATGGGGGGTCTACAAATGCAAGAAGTGACTGGTTTATAAGCTTTCAAGAGGGAACCTAGATCCAGAGGGCGCAGAAGAAGGCAGAATCTCCAATCTGTTGGGGTGGGCCAGATGAAAGGAGATGTAGAGAGGTCTCTTGTTATACAATAGTGAATAATTGTTATCAGGACAGATTGTGAGGGTTGCAAATGTAAAGGTAGACGTTTTTGTAGCAAAAGGAGGGAAGTGATTGACTTTGCAGTCTAGGAGCGGAGGTCCCTGGGACCATAAAGGGCCAAGAGCGGAGAGAGGGACCCTACCCAGAGAAGCAATGATGCCAGAGATGGAGGCAGAGACGATGACGTGGAGAGATGGAGTGGCTGGGGATCCAGAAAGGTAGAGGGGCTGTGTGCTGATGACTTGGGGGCAGGCTTGCAGGGTATACCCTTTTGTTGGTTGATGATGTATGGAGGGGATTGTAACCATGGCAATGAAACGATATACTATAAGATCAATGTAAAGCTAATGTTCTCCCATGTAAACGATCACATAATTCACAATAAAACATTAAAAAAATATAATAATCCATGTCCTCCTCAATTCCTGATTCTCCTTGTTCCTCTGTTGCCTCAGGTGAATTGTTGTACCTTGGATGGCTGTTTGCAAGCTTTTAAGATGCAGGCATTACACAACAAATTAGGAGGTGCAACAGGAGCACTGAGCACATTTTTAGACCATTTAACTGGGATATTCCATGAAATTGTAATTCCAAACCTACAAACCAAGGAACCAAATCCCGTGAGATGTTTGGTTGTACATAAGGAACCTCAGCAGCTACTCTATTTTGTGTGCAGTCAATCTGCTTGTAAATAATAGCTATCACACAACTTTGGCCAATTCAACTTTTTATAGGTGCATGACTTATTAAAGGCAATTACAATAATCAGTGGTGCAACCCACCCTTAATCATTGTCAGTTTTCAATCACAGTGAGTCCCATCTCTCCCTTTCTTTCTCACTCCTGATAATAAAACAAAAACCAAACTCACTACCATTGAGTAGATTCCAACAGAGACCCTGACATAGAGAGTAGAATTGCCCCCTAATATTCCTAAGGCTGTACATCTTTATGGAAGCAGACAGTCACATCATTCTCTTGCAGAGAAGCTGGTAGATTGCTGACATTTCTGTTAGCAGCCAAGCACTTAACTACTGTACCACAAGGCCTCTTCCAACCCTGGTAACTACTGATAAAGACTTTGGTTTCCATACATTTGTCTTTTCATATAAGTGAAGTCATACGATATTTATTCTTTTTGTTATTGGCTTATTCCACTCAGCATAATGTCAAGTTCCATCCATACTGTAACATGTATCAAAACTTCATTTCTCCTACTGGCTGAGTAGTATTCCATTATATGGATGTACCACATTTTGTTTATCCATTCCTCTGCTAATGGGCATTTAGACTGTTCCTATCATTTGGCTGTTGTGAACAGTGCTGCAAGGAACACTGGTGTACAAGTCTGAGTCCCTGCTTAATCTACAAGTCTTAAACCACTTCATGACCCATGGGACATTTAACACCCACCTACATTTTTCTCCTCTGGAGTTGACTATATAACTGCTTTCTCACTAACAGTGTATGTAGCCATTAGAAAGGGGCATGCATACCTGTGTGAAAGGAAAGAAATGGGCATGGTCTATAAATTTTTTGTTTTAACTGTGTTGTGTATGAGCTTTTGATGGAGGTGTGATTTTGCAAAAGGCCTCTGGCTTTTTTTTTCTAGGAGATAAGCCTTGTTAAGTAATTTCTGGGCTTGTGTGTGTCATGTGGAAGTTGCTTTCTTACAATGATTCCATGTTCATGAATATCACATATTCATGTACCTTAAATTGTATATACCTGTCAACAAATGATTTAGTGTGAAAACTAATAGGGTAATGAAAGGGTTAAACAAATGAATATGATTTAAAAATTCAATGCTTACTAAGAACTGGAAATAATCCAAATGATGAATGGATATTAAAGTTGTGGCATATTCAAACAAGGAATATTATTCAGCAATAAAAGGGATGAGCATTGATACATGTATCAATGCAGAGGAACCTCAAATTCATGATGCTCAGTGAAAAAGCCCATACACTGGGAGATCCCAGTTATATGACAGTCTTGCAAAGGCAAATCTATTAGGACAGGAAACAGATCAGAGGTTTCAGGAGCTGGGGGGAAAGGGGAGACGTGCATATAAAGGGGCATGGGAACTTAAGGAGATGATGGAACTGTTTTCTATCTTGATTGTGATAGTGAGTTAACAGGCTTGTACACAACATCAAAACTCTCAGAATGTATACCTGGAGTGTGAATTTTACTGTAAGTAAATTATGCCTTAATAAAAACAAATGGACAGGAGAACAAACAAGATG